TGCACTGTTCATACGACATTATGTTACGCACTAAACAGACTCATACATATACATACTATCGCTTTATACAAAATCATTTTGATTTACATACTCCATCAAGACAACCACACCATCGTTTTCAGTTTCTTAACTCGAAGTACACTTCACCATTTTTTCTTAATTTCACCTATTGCATCAAGGATACTAACCTCCACGGCATCCTCCGCAATTATGACCCAGTAACACAAATGTATATATTTTGTCCCATCACGAAGACCTTTAATGCCGAAGAATCCAGACCCTTTCTTATCCCACATGAATTTATCCAACCTATAGAAATCCCAATATTAGAATTTATTCACAATAATAAATATAATCACAAAATATATAACCTCATTCAAAACACACCTTATGAGTTTGCAGTAGGCACCGAAGAACTAAAAACCATTAAAGCACTTCAATTGCTTTGGCCACTGCTCCAAACTAAAAACATCATTCGCATACTAGCAAAATTACTAACAAATTCGGACATAATACACAACATCTTTCCCCACGGCTTTTTCCCAGACAATTAACAGGTAAGTATAATTTAAAAATATTCTTAACTAATAAATTTAAATTAGTCCTAACCATTCTTTACTCATGTTTCTTTTACATTTTTAGTCTTCATACCACGATCATCTGCAAAAAAAACAGAAAAGAAAAATAAAAAATAAACTTGTTAAAATTCTTCTAAGCTTCATTAATATTTTACACAAGAAAATCTGATAAAATTCATACCAAATGTAGTAAATTAATTTATAAATTATTCCCCCATAAAGCAGTAAATTTAATTATGATGAAAATTTATAACTTTAAATTTCCCCCAAAACTAGCAGTAAAATTGAAATTCTATGTAATAAATTGATAAAATGAAAATGCAGTACTAACCTTTTGATACTTTCACTCACTCGCACAGGAATTCTATCCAAACTCGCACAGCTCGCCCACGAAGAATTAATTAAATAATGATTTTAAGTTTCAAGTTTTCACACTCAACAACTCTAACACACGATAACAAGTTTCAAACTTTCCTTTAACGCGGTTGGAAAGGAATTATATACTAAACCAAACTAACCAACGCAGCTTACTAAACACCACAAATCATAAAATAACAGCATGACTAAGAAAAGAAAACCAACGGTACCCAAACCGGATTAACCCTGTTTAAAACTGGATAATTTATTCTTTTGAAGACTATTATAAAGTCTAAGAAAGAAATAATAAAACAAAAAAAAGTCGAAAGACAAACCCATAACAAAAACAATTTGATTTTTGGAAAAAGGGACACAACCAAAGAAACATAAGAAAGACCAACATAAACCCAACATAAAACGTTATCACATAACAGGACCTCTTAAAGAAACCGCACGAAACCATACTCCCACTCCTGGCCTAACCCACCAGAGGGGACGTCCTGAGCATGCTCTATAGCCGGCCTAACCCATCGCGCTACATCCACGCTTTGTGACCACATTTCTATTTTTAATAAGAGGTACTCAAGGGTGAGTAACTCTTCAAAATAATCGAACTAAAACAAAATGCTTTTGTGAAAACAACTGACTAAATTCATGATTAAAAAACCAAACTAATAAAAATTTTATAAAATGTAAATCATACCTTGCAGTATATAGATCAACACACAACAACAAAGACGAACATCCAAAGATAAAATGATCCCATTACACTCGAACAAGAATGGCTAACCACAACCGATATGCCGTCCACAATCACAACTCAAAGGATTTAGAGTACGACTTGACTTCGCAGAAAAGGACTTCATTGAACTAGACCAATGACCACCTCGATGATCAAGTATACGTACAGATCCGAGTTACAAGGCATCCCTTCCACACACAATCTCCACGCCATTCCCAGACGAGGTTGAACACAAAACAAGTTCTCTACATGATACAGAAAAACCCGTCATAGCAAACCATTTTGAAATCAGATTGATTCCATTGGGAAACACAGTCGTTGTCACAAGACGACACAACGATTGATGTCCCTAACTCCAGCGTCCTGGAACTTCTCTAACCAGAGGAACCGGACAAGAATACGATGTTCGCCAAATACCAACGTTCATCATCCATCCTTTGAATTGAAGAAAGATAATTTTAAAAAAACTCTGTAAAACCCGGATGGGTGGAACTTGATCTAAACTATATTTTATGATTGGATAAATTAGATATTTTACCACTGTAAAGTATTTAATATTAACCAATCATGATCCATCTAACTAACAACCCACTTATTTGTAAGTGCTGAAATTACTTGTAATTTCAGCACCAGAGAGATTTGAGTTTAACTTAGAAATTAGTTGTCTCTCCAAGAGAACTTCAGCAGCCGCAACAAACCAGTATACCCTAGATCTATTGAGCCTAGCAGAGACTAGTTAAACAACCTGAGACTAGATAGTATAAGAGTAAGATTAGGATCGGTATTAGACTAAGAAGTTGCACGAATCTATCCGGCCGAAAATAAGATAGCGTGACGAGCAGACGATGACCCTATCCGAAATTACTCTATGAGTTAACCACATCGGTCCTAACTCAATGGGGTAACTTGTGAAGTATTAATGGGATACGGATGGAATTTAGTAGTTAGGATTCCCATGGGATTCTGAACCCAAGTGTAGAAGTTTGACCCCGGTTGACCCCTGGCTCACCTTAAGTCGACCTTTGGGCATTTTTACCCCAAAATTGCATAGCGAACCCCGAGATAAACACCGGAAAGTTGCGTTTTACACGGTTCAACCCCTATGATATGAAACGGTCCCCTTACTAATATCTGGGAGAAACTTGTATATTGGGGACTAGAGCAGAAAACGATAACCATATAACTTTTACATTGCAGCCTTATAGTAATAGATTTAAGTCAAAGTGGACTTGGTAAATATTGGGTTCAGTTTAGCTTAGTAAATGATCAATTAAAAGCAATTCAACTAGTCTAAAGAAAAGAAGTCCCAGAGAAAAATGATAGTAATAGGACCGCAACATGAGAACTAAGTCTCCTAAATAGTATGAACGAAGGGGGAATTTACTTGGCTTTCCGGAGGTGACATTTTGGTTCAATTTGGCCCCTAATAGACGAACTATGTTTCCCTGATAGCTAAAAGGTCGGGATTGGAACAGTGTACAGATAGAAAAATTAGATGCCTCAATTGAATTAGCTACCCATGAAAAGGGTCATCCCCTACTCTTGGGAGGTCGGCAAGTTAACAGGATTATTAAAATAAAAACCTTGGGAGGGTCAGTGAAAAAACATAGCCCGGTTTGGACGTCGAGTTGAACTCGAGAGCTGAAGTCACTGAAGTCAAGAAATAGTTGATTAGAATTGTACGAAAGTTGTTTGCTTGGTCGAATTGTGATACCTACCGCATACTAGGTATCTAATAAGCGTGAAAAGATTGATAAAAGAAACCGAATTTGGTACGTGGCAGAGTTGACAGGGGGAGGGACATAGTCTTACAACATGTGCGAACAGGTGATTTAGGCGGATGTCGGGGCCGATAAGGAATGGCGTGATCTAACTAAAACTAAGTGTAAAGAAAGATAGGGAAGTGGAGGGTACCGGAGACCTTTTAAGAGTCGGAACAGTTGTTAGCTACTATTAAGAGTAGTTGTTTTTCAGTCAGAGAAGAGAGCAATTGGTACTGAGTTAGAGTATAGTTGGTTCTCAGTTAGTTAGAGATAGCGATTATTGCTAGTTAGTCAAGTAGTTGGTTCTGGGAGTACGAGAACAATTTTAGCAGAAACAATAGATAGTTGGTTCTCATCAGAGATTTTCTAGAGAGAGAGAACAGAAGCGTTTAGTGGAGTCAGTTGGAAGTCAAATTGTAATTAAACAATAGTGCTGATTAGTCGCGGACCTTTCTTTTGATTAGGTTATTAGACTACATTCTGGCCACTCAGAGCCTTCTTTAATTGGACGTATATTTATCTGAATTAAATTACTATTCGAAAATCTTGCAAATGTATCGAGTAGACGAGACAGGCTGAAGAGCAGTACACAAGAAGGGGACAAGCAGAAAATACAATAAAGAATAGTTGCCACCAACTTAAGCCTTTCGGGATTGTAGATAGTAGTGAATCTGGTTCGCCCCGCTTTATTCACTACCCAAGTGACCACCATCAGAAAAAAATCACATCAAGCTGAACTACTACTCATTTCTTCTGGATTTATCAAAATATCCTTTTTGAATATTTTCACTTGTTTTTTTTTTGTTTTTTAAATTTAGTTTCGAGTTATCAGGCCTAATCCTGGTCAGAATTAGTTCTGAATCAGATCTGATATGTTTCAAAAAGTTGTTGCTTCAAGTTTGTGCCACAATAAATGTGTATGCTTGAAAGAAACATTGCTTCAGGTCCGTCGCAGTCCTATAAAATTCAAACCTGTGTTGTTTTCAGATCTGATTTTAATGAAAAACTTTTTTGAACTTAAACTAATACTTGAAATTGTTGGATTCAAACCTTTTAAATGAAATACCTGCTTGGCTCCCTGACTTTATATGACAGCTTGTAAATTAAAAGATTCAAAAATCACTATTTTGTCAAACATTTGCATGTCAAGAAAGACTTTACATATTTGCGTTGAGATGATCATCCGTGTTGGAAGTTTGTTGAAAACTAAACCTTAAGTTATTCATTTAGTTATCCAAAAGTTAAGTCCGTACATTTTTCTCGTCTACAAAAGACCTGCAGCCTGTCTCTTTTATTTCAGTGCAGATCAGCCTCAGATTTGACAACACAAGAATTAGCAGGTATAGACAAAGCTGGCTCAGATTTGCTCAAATCTTGCTTCAGATCTATTCAGATTGGAATGTAATCAAGATTTCAACTCAACATATCTATACAAAAAAGATCATAATCAAATATTTCAAAAAAAAACATTAGGCATCGATTATTGAAATGAGAAATGAATATAAATAGGATTACAAGGACGAGTAAAAACAACTTCGTTTCAAATTTATGTTTCTATGATCACTTTGTTTTCGGGAACGTTCTTCATATTTTCTATTTTAGAAGCCATTTTTTTAAATTTCATTTTCGCTGGTCTGCAAATTTAGTCTTTTTGCACAGCGGAGCTAAATCATCTTTGAGCAAGAGCTGATTGCACTTTTTAGTCCTCTATAAGTAGGTCCGCTTTGTTCGTAAAAGCAAAAGCAAGCCACAATTTCGTTTGCATTGAGTTAATTTTTTTTTTGCTATTTCAACAAGTTTCATCAAACAATTTGAAACCAACCGTCAGCTTTTTGCTATTGCGTTTTTACAGCTACAGATTCTTCAGTGTAGTACATTTTTCTGTAATTTCCAGAAAAAATAAGGTACCCATTGCTACAGATACTGCCTAGTACTAGACATCCGCACAAGGTTAAGAAGGTCAACTCGAAATCGACTGCAGAGTAAATGAGGCCGCCGAACACAAATGAGCCCAGAATTCCTCCAGCTGAAAACAAAAGGGTATATTTATCAAAGAAATAATTTATGGGAGCTTAGTGCTGATTTGAATAATTTGGGTAAAATGATTAAAATTGGAATGTTAAAACGCGTTTTTCTCAAGCTGGGTTGATTTTAGACGTTTTAGGCTAGCTAATCAGATCGGTCGTATTTATTTCATACGACTCAACATTTCACCCTTAGATATTGTCCAAAACTTATAGGTTTTCAATATTTTTCCCCAAAAATATTCGATGTAATTATTTATTATTAAGGGAATAATTATTGATTATTATTTATTAAGGGATATTCGGAACATTCAGGGCTTTGACTTGATATACGAGCAGTCTTGTTTTCCGACTTTCGATACGAAAGTAACGGAATATTTGTGCTCGGGGTGGGTTTTTTTTCTTCAGACAAATTTCGACTTTTTAACTAGCCATTTTTGACGGAATTTTTAAAAATCATTCAAAAGGTGTTGTTGTCTTGAGCTTAAATTTGAAAAGATATTTCACCTGTGATCATTTTTTGTAAAGTTATGAAGGTTTAAAATTTGCCGTTTTAGCCATTTTGACCAATTTGGGACAATTAACGCGCGATATAATTCGCGCTATTAACGCGTGAGCGGAGATTTAATCCGTCTTATAAATCGTTCCAAATTGGTTGAACGAAGCTTGTTTGCAATAATTTATTTGTTACAAGGAACGAATTCTATCTTTTTGTGTTATGGCGTGAGGGGAGATGATTTTCATGAAAAATTGAAAAAAAAACATTAGTTTTATTTTATTTCATTTAATTTTTTTGATGTTTGTACTGCTGCTCCATAAACCCTAAAAGGCAGTCGGAACATCCAGGGCTTCGCCCTGATACAAGCAGTCTTGTTCTGTTTAAAATTTGTTAAACTTGTGTTATTTGATCGAAAAGTTTGGATAGCATTCAACAATTTTGGTTCTAACTTTCTTGTTGTCCTTTCATGAGCTAAGATTGTAAGCTATATATTCAATTGTTTTTTATTGTTCCGACTTTCCTAACAAAAGTAACGGAATATTTGTGCTCGGAATGGGTTATTTTTTCTTCAGACAAATTTCGACTTTTTAACTAGCCATTTTTGACGGGTTTATTTTTATATCATTCAAAAGGAATTGTTATCCTGAGCTTAAATTTGAAAAGATAGTTCAGCTGTGATTAGTTTTCGAAAAGTTATGGGGGTTTAAAGATTGCCATTTTGACCAATTTGCTCCTAGTTGATTTGTACTCATATGTCCTAGTTGATTTGTAAGTATGAGCAAAATCTATCAGTTTGTACTAAATATGGCGTGTAGGGTGACGTTTTTACAAAAAAAACTTTAAATTTTTTTTAAATTTTAATTATATTTATTACATTTAAATTTTCCATGTTATTACTGCACCATAGACCCTAAGAGGCATTCGGAACATTCAGGGCTTCGCCCTGATATGAGCAGTTTTGTTTTTTTGTTCCGACTTTCGGTATGAAAGTAACGGAATATTTGTGCTCGGGGTGGGTTTTTTTTCTTCAGACAATTTTCGATTTTTTAACTAGCCAATTTTGACAATTTTTGTTTATCATTCGAAAGCCAATTGTGACCATTTTTTTGTAAAGTTATTGGGGGTTAAATAGTGCCATTTTGGCCAATTTGCAACATTTAACGCGCGATATATTTCGCGCTATTAACGTGTAAGCGGAGATTTAATCCGCTTTAGAAATCGTTCCAAATTGGTTCAAAAAAGCTTATATGCCATCATTTATATAATAATAGGACCAAAATCTATCTTTTTGTATTTTATATGGCGTGTGAGAGGATGATTTTCATTTAAAAAAATTTCAAATTTTAGAAAAAAAAGTTTCAATTTATTTTATTATATTTAATTTTTTTTTGTTATTACTGCTCATGAAACCGCCATGACTCAAAAGGCAGTCGGAACATTCAGGGCTTCGCCCTGATACGAGCAGTCTTGTTTAAAATTTGTTGATAAAGCATATAGTTAGTATGTTTGTTACTTCATTATTAATCAAAATCACATAAATAAGAAATTAGTGAAAACATATCAAAAAAATTCTCTTAAACGTCGATTATGGCCCGTTATTACACAAATTTGCTGCGTAAAAACCATAAAACAAACAACTAGAACAAAAACATTTTAGGTTTTTTAGCTAATGTCAAATTTGCTTCGACTGAGTTTCTATTAATTTACGTTCAAGTGCCTGGCCAAAACAAACGGTAATTATAATTTGAGTAAATACATTTAACTTACCTGACATCGAGAATGTGATCCAAAATCCGACAATTAGTTGCAGTTTTTCAATGCTATGTGGGTAGCCTTCCTTCTTCGCTATTTCTTGTAGAATGAGATAAGTTGGCGCATAGTTGCCAGACGTCGCGACTCCACTGAGAGCCAGTACAAATACCACATAGTACTTGTTTTCCAGGAATGGCACCAAAACGGGAAGAGCGTACATTCCAGTGACAATGATGACCATATTCGAAAGCCAGAAGAATGAATGAGCAGCAAAACCTTGAGCACAATTGAAGAAAAAACAAATCTAGTAACAATTTGATAGAAAAGTTACAATTTTTATGAGCACGAATTATATTTCAATTTTCTCGAGCAAAAATCGGTGTTTCGACCGTCTCGAAAAAATTTCGGCGTGTTGCGACTTTCTGGACCCAAAAAAATGTTCGGTTTTGTTAGAACTTATTCAGATATTTTGACCTTCTCGAATAAAATTTGACAGATTTTAACAATCTCGACGGTCTTGCTCGAACCTTTTAAACGCTTATTTTTTCGACCCCGAATAGAAAGGTTAAAGCTTCTCGACCAAATATGGGTATGTTTCGACTGTCTCAACAGAAAAAAAAATCCAAAAACATTCCAATCCTAATTTTGCTTCAACCGACGCTACTAACAATAGGGTGTGCTAAAAATGATTACCTCGACTCTCTAGATCACAAAAATGTGAGATTAAATAAAAAATTTAAAAAAATTGATATTTTAGGGTGCGTGCTTGACCTATGTTTCGACTGCCGGCACTGACAAGCCTGAGATCAAAGTTGTTGTAAATTAATTTTATACATATGATATATTGTATGAAAGTTGTTTTACAATAGCCCATTTTTAGATGAGTACATTAGCCATTTAGATTGGTACAGTAGCATAAAAAATCGATTTTAATGCCGGAAATATTGATTAAAATCAAATTAAACGGGTTTTTGCAGAGGAATACAATTAAAATCTCTGCAAAAATGATTTAATTCAACTCTTTTTTTCTTGCAAAACTTGCGTTAAATTTTGTACTCAAGCAAAATTTTTATTAGAGCTACAAGGAGCAAAAATCATATCGCAGACTATAGAGATTAGGGGAATCCTTTTTGAGGTTTGCAATATTAAGGGCTCTTGCGATTTGAAAGTGAAACTGTGCAACTTTTCTGCAAATTTCATTTTCGTTATCAATATTTTAGGCGCAATTATGATAGATTTAAATAATGCAATTAAAAAACTCTTTTCAGAACAATTCATTGTCGGTGCAGAAAAAATGCATATAAGTGAAACTCGGTTAGTTTGCTTTCATGCCGAATATCACCATAAAAAGTAAATTGAAAAGTATACACTAAATTTTTGTGTCCAGTTTTTTCTATTTTTATCTGTATATAATTTGTATAAAATAAGTATAGAAAAAAGTGACAAAAGTCAATTTAAATCAATTTCTTGTTTTTAAAAGCTGTATGAAAAAGCAAACGGAAAAAAATAAACAAAAATGGATTTAAATTAATTGAGAATCGATTGCAATTGATTTTTGAAGCTACATTCATCTATAAAATAAATCGATTTTAGTTCGATTAAAATCGTTTTTTGTTCCTTTCCAAAATTATCTGATAAAATCAATTGTAATCCGTTTCTTGTCAGTACATGTGTGCTCGACCTATTCTTCGACAGTGCTCGAGCTATGTTTTGACATTTTCGACTAAAAAAATTAATTGACCAAAAATTTTGATGTTTTTTGCTTTTCAATTGACTTTTTGTTGTCATGCTTAAACTGAAAGAAAAATATAAAAATCAATAAAACGCGAAATTCTGGCATCGAAAAATAGTTCTTACCAAAAACTGAATCTTTTAATTTTGTTTTGAGTTTTCTTACAAACATGGATTGAAACTCGTGGAGGAAACGTGGAAGAAATTTAAATAGAATTTATACTTTTTAGCTCAGGGAACCCTTGGAAAAAAGGTTTACCTCTGAAATTCTAGTTGTTTGACAAAAAAGTCTCCTCGAATGAACTGGAGGTCTTTTCTGAGCAGATTTTCTTGCTCAATTTCCCAATTAGGTTATGCTCGACTTATTTTTTGAGTGTGCTTGACTTATAATTCGGCATTAGACACTTGAAAAATTAGGTTAAGCTCGACTTATGTTATGACTATGCTTGACTTATATTAAATTTTGGCATTCTTGATTGAAATCAGGCAAGTTTTGACTATGTTCCAACATTTTTTTGACTTTCTCGATCAAAATTTGGTATGTTTTGGGTTGTGATTACTTTATTCTGCTTCTCGACCAAGGATTTTTTTTCGAAAAACTGCACCTTCTCAACTTTCAAAGTCGAAACAAATCGAGCACCTCAACCTGGCTAATTATGTTTCAGTCGGATAATTATAATTTAGATTACGATTAACAACTGTAAGTTTACAATTAAATTGACTATTGGGAGTCTCGTACAGCAAAGTTTCCTTCCGTTTGCTTTTATCTTGATTGATTTTGATTTCTGTAACTATTTCAATGTGGTATGCTGATGACTTACTTTCTTCCGCGTTGGTGCAAATCAACAGAATCTAAGCTTTCTAATTAAAGTTTATAAAAAAGAGACAATTTCCTAATCTTCAATTCAGACCAAACTGAAACCCCTACGCCCTAGAATCACTGCAATTTTGTCTGATGACGCAAATTCACGATCAAGGCATCACAAGATAATTAGAGCATACAAGAACCAGACTGCTGGCATCAGAATAAATCTTTGGTTGCTCCGACTGCCTTTTAACTGGTCTCAAAAACTTTTTGGTAACTTAAACAATGACAAACTATGAACTTTAGGCTGATAATGTCGTTCAGACTGAATTTATGGAATTAATAAGACCATTTGCCTAATTTCAATTTTGAAACATTTTTGTGGCTAGGGATAATTCACCAAGCGTTAATTATTCGCATTACAAGGCAGATAAAATGGTGGTCATATTCTCTAGAACTAATTTCTATGATTTTTTTTTGTTCGGGTATTTGAAAGAAGTTTGAATAGCTTACAATTTTACGTATATTTTAGCTAACTCGGCTTACAATGCTGATCTAAATTAACCGGAAAAAACAAAAATTTTAAAAATTTATACACGTTTTTCACATACTGGTCTAAGAATAAACACCAAGTAAGGAGACCAAGAATTGCTTGCATTTGACCAGAATTATCATAGTTCATTTTATTTTGCATAATTTCATTTTGGATAATTCACCACGCGTTAATCATTCGCATTACACTTCCAGCTCCAAATAAGTAAAAGAGCAGTTTAGTTAGACTCATTACAGGTTGCGCATGAGGTCCTGTTAATAAGGCTTACAAAAAAATTGCCCTCACGGCGAGGCCCTCGAAAATCAAGGCCCCAATGAATTCTGAATAAAAAGTCACCCCAACATAAAAATCTCCATATTTTCAGAAAGTCGGATCAAAAAATTTAAATGCAACTGAAAAAACAACGAAGTTTTTGATGATTGCTGTTTGTATATCTAAGTTAATAACCGTAAGTCGAACACCTTTTTTAACAAATCTATTGAATTTGGCTCTAATTGACTTTCATGAAAGCTAATAGGTGGTGTTATACTTTTCATGATTGCATCATACAGGTCTACTTACATATTCGGTCGATTTTTTTTAGTTTTGCAATTTCATAAAATTTTATTTATGAATGCAGATAAGAAAACACTGATCGCACTGATTGATTTAGGTAATATAAACGCGATCAATTTTTTTAAACTTATTTCCAACAAGGCAGATATAATGGTGATCATATTCTCTGGAACCAATTTCTACGTTAATTTTTTTTGGTTTGGGTAAATCTCTGCAGCTTATTTGAAACAAACTTGAATGGCTTACAATTTTACGTATATTTTAGCTAACTCGGCTTACAATGCTGATCTAAATTAACCGGAAAAAAACAAAAATTTTAAAAATTTATACACGTTTTTCACATACTGGTCTAAGAATAAACACCAAGTAAGGAGACCAAGAATTGCTCACGTTTGACCAGAGTTATCATAGTTCATTTTTTCTTGTAAAATACAGCAAAAATTTTGCTTGTTTTCGTATTTCATAGCTAATCAATTTTTTTGCTTGAATTATCAACAAGAAAAAAAGTTTTATTTATTGTTTCCAAGAGTATGGTCGGAACACTGTGTGCAGGGGCGGATCAATGACTTTCTATAGAGACGGGGGACGGATTTAAAAAAATCGAAAATTTGTTCGACCTTTTTTTAGGTCGACCAAATTGATTTTCCGAGCTCTCCCAAATGGCTAAAAAGACCCGTTTTGGTCAAATGTGCCGAAGGCAAAATTTTGAAAAACAGGCCAAAAAAGCAATTTTAGGCTTTTTTTGGAAAACATTGACCACGAAGTTGCGTTTTTTGGTGCGCGCTCCCCACTCAAAATTCGTGTATATTGGCGCCCGAGGCGCCTTTAGAAATTTCTTAGGGTTCGTCACCAAATATGGATATCTCAAAATAGTACAAAGAAGGGACCCTTTGGGTCGGTAGGGGGGTCGAAACCCTGAGGAAGTGGGGCGTCTGCCCACGCCCACCCCCTAAGTCTGAACCTGACTGTGTGCGAGTTTCACAGCAACCAGCTATCCTAGTTCATATTTGCTGTTGTTTTATTCCAATTGTACTCAAAAATTGTACTCAAAACAGGCTATTTCAAAACATACCTCTATCTGTTGCGTAGCCAACAAATTGAGAGCAAACTGTGTAAAAAGCACATGCTGTCAAGAAATACCAGCCGGAGGAACCTCCCTCTATGTCGAATTGTTCCAGAAGATACGGAGATAGTCCAACACCTAAAAATTCTAGCGGCACGCCAAGCAAAATCAGAAGTACGCTGAAAGCCCAGATTCCACGAATAGCCAGGAAGTCGAGGACAGCTTGAAAAGTGCTGGCCGTTTTTTCTGACAACTCATTTTGAGGCGAGTCATCAGTGGGTTTTAACTTAGGCTCGTCTTCCTCATTAATGTCGCAGGTTTTCTGGTCCAACAAACTGTAATGTAAAAAGATTTTGTTAAATTAAAAAAGACTAAAACTCCTAGTTACTATAAAGAAAAAATGTGCACAAATATTTTAAAAAAAACTTCATAGAAACGTCCAAATCAGCCCGCATCCAGTTTTCAGCGTTGATAACCGATTATATTGTGATACTATACCGAATTATTTAAATTGAGAAAAAAATTTCTGATCAATTAATAATCAATTATAATATCTTTTATTGAAATCAACTTATAATCAATTATAAGACATTTTAATCGACTATAATGAAGCTTTCCATCTATTTTTTGATATAATTTTATCGATTATAATCCATCTTTTTTATCCGGTTTTTCAATTCATGTTTTGCACAAAAATCCATTATAGTCGAGTATAATCCCTTTCGCTTGACAATTTTGTCTTTAAAATTGCATCTGAATTGCTTATATTTTATGCTTTTCGTAGGTTTTGGTTCCTGTGAAAAATGAAAAGTCTGTTTTTAAAGTTTTCAAATAAATTCAAATTTACCCAGTTTTTGTTTTTTCTTTTCTTTTCCATTAAAATTGTTTCATGATGCAAATTTTAAGTTTTTTTAACCACCAGAACATGAGCAAATTGTTTTCGTTTCATGATTGATTCGAAAGGGTTAATTTTCATCTACAGCGGGAAAATTTCAGTATACGTGAAAAAAATATCTTTCAAACTTTTGTTTCGTGGTTAAACTTTGTGTTCAGACAAACCAAAGCGTGATAAAAGATCTCGCATTTAGAGATTTTGTTATTGACTGATAATAATAACCCATAGGGTATAATTCAAATATATTTTGGGTGGGACAAAATCTTGGCAAAATAAAAAATTATAATCGATTATAATTGATTTTATGTTTTCTATTAACAAAAATCAGTTATAATCGATAATAAGAGATTATAATATCTTGGAAAAAATCACGATTATAATCGATTATAAATCTTTTAAACACTTTATTTTGGTGCCAAAAGTAATTTATTCTGAAAACTCTGATATTTTCACAATAAACTACCTTTGGGGCCAAATTTTGAGAAATATTAGATTCTGGTTTGGGCTTTTGAGGGTGCTGGTAAATAGAAAACGACTCTTTTACTCCCCCCAAAAAAATTAGCAAGTCTAAAATGTACTAAAAATTGTATCGAAAAAAGTTGCATTCTAGCAGTGAGCATGTTTGTTGTCTTTTTTAGACTGTTTATTTGCTGTTAAAAATATTCGTTGTTTGTTGTCCTTCAACTCAGTTAATTATGATCTTACGATTTTTTTTCGTCGTCTTCGTTAATTGATCCATAAGGTAGAGCATAGAATGTCAGCAGGGCCAAAACTATCTCGATTGCCCCGGATGTCAAAAAGGGAAACTTATACCCTCCTAGGGAGTACATGGCACTGCCGATTGGGGGTCCGATAGCTACACCGAAGCCGACTGCTGACTCAGCGAGGGACGTGATTCGACCGGCGTATTGGGGTGCAATTGAAGTTAGTAGGGGGATCCCAGCACCATACACAAGACTGCCTCCAAGTCCCAGGAAGATTCGGCAGATGAAGCTAAGAGTTGAAAACCACAGGTGGGCTGAAATAAAAATGATTGCAAGTGGCTCTTTTCTACCTCCACCACGCCCACCCCCCCCCCCCCCCCTGTAGCTGGTTCAAAAAGAGCCCGCTTGTCTTAACGGATCAATGATTGGCATTATTTCATCCCATCAAAAGATTAAAAGATTTAGAAGTGCTGTAGGATAATTGCCATTTTTAAAGATTTTTGTTCAAAAAATTACTATTTGTTTTGGTTAAGTGCAGCGGAAGTTGTTCAGCACAAAGCAGGACAATGTGGAAATGATCTTGACATGAAAATGAGTTTCATTTACCTAGCGTCTTAAGGCCTCACTAAAAAATGCAGCCCAAAATTTACCCAAAAAGTGCATTTTTCCCCCGAGTAATATCACTTTGAACTTATCCCCGACCATAACGATGTTGCGACCCCATATAATGTTGCCCCGACCATAACAAACTTCGACCGGATAAAGATAGGCTGAGGTTGATAGTGTTGAATATACAAGTTTCGAAATATTGATTTGTTTTCACTACTACCCGTCTCCAAAACTAGCAACCCCCCCTCCCCCCTCCCCCTCAAATATCTGTCGCAGAAGCTTGAAAATTGGCCCTCGAGTGATCCCCAGGCAAAGTTTAGCCTTCTTACCTACTTTTGGTATCTTTTAGGCTATTATTTGAACAAGCCAAAAAAACCTTTGATGTTTTAAAAAAAAAATTGTTTGGGGCTCCAAAACTTCGGCCTAAACAGGGTATTTTTAGTGGTTTGGCAGAGTTCGGAAAATTGATTTGGTCGACCTAAAAAAACGCTTGACAAAATGTTCAAAATTTTTTTGAATATCCGCCCCCTCGAGAAAATCCTAGACCTACCCCTGGCCATGCTTACAATTTATGACGTCCATTAGCCCGAATGCCGTATTAGATATAGCCCCCAGAAGAGCGCCGGAGAGAAAGAGAACTTTGTTCCACTCGGGTTTGACCACGAACGGCAGCAGGACCGAGAAGAAGAACATCGAGAAGTCGAAACAGCCGACGATGGCCCCCACGAGCAGTTTCGATACACCTGCATTATGAATAACAGTCAGCTACAAGGAGTGGGCGGTGTATATTTAGACAACCATTTAAATAGTGGTATATAAACCAGCCAAGTGAAGTAGAGATTATGCACAGAAGTTTTAATATTTGGCTCAGACGAAATGCCTAAAAATGCCTAAATTTTCAGTTTCACCGTGTTTTGATCATAACTGTCCAAAAAGGGCCTAAAACGAAACGCCGAAAAGTGCCTGAAAGATATCAGTTCCTGCCGAAAAAAGAGGATCAATCAGAATCGAGATATAAAAAAAACAAATATACGCAAGAATAACAAAGATCGAAGCTGAGCTTCGCACGACTTGCTCAGAACAAAATGTCAAAAATCAAAAGTTTTCTGTTGAAACCAACATAGGCTGAAAAAATTTAGAATAATTACACAGCAATTATTATAAAAATCATTTGCATAAAACAGAAGGTCGATCCGGGCTACTCAAGCTCCATTCATTTTTTCTCATAACCAATAAAGAGAAACGCTCGAAACAAATAGCGTAAAAAGATACAAATTTGGAAACAAAAAAGTTACAGCTAACTGTGCGTGGACCTTGAAGCATAAAGCCAATTCAAATGAACACGACCAAACAAGGAGATCAAGATAATTTGAACAAAAAATCTATGAAAAAATCTCGACGACAAACTCTGGGTAGACGGATTCCCCTTATTTGAAAACTGTGAACTCAAAAGCCTAAAACAGCAAAAATTCTAAAGACTATTTTGCATGAGAAGAAAAAGCCGACTGCTAAGATTAAAACTATATGGATAAGAGGTATATTCATAGCAAATCTGCTAAATGAGACAATTTAGAAAAACTACTCGCATATAGGCAAACAGGAAAAGATGCCAATAACCTTACAGTAAAGATAGAAAACTATAAAAACAGGGTGAAAATTTTTTTTTCTTCGAAAAATTCCAAAAAATTACAAGTTTGGCTTTAAGAAATTTATTTTCGGTTATTAGTCTTAAAACAATTTTTGGCACAAAAACACATTTTGGTTCAGCCTAAAACGGAAAGTCCCCAACTGGTGGCCCAAGAAGCAGTGCTGTTATACCCACTTCTAAATAACAGCAAGGAAAGTTTAAAAAGGCAAGGAGATCTCAAAAATGTAGAAATGCAAGTCCTAAAACCGGTCGCAAGCTAAACAGAACTACGGATCTCTGAAGGTTTTTCATCCGGTTCAAAGATTGAAACAAAAATTTTATATAGAAAAACTCACAATTGACATGACGACATGAGATTGAGACGACAGGTGAGAGTTAAAACATGTAAAATGAACTGTCCGACTTAAAGCGAAGTATCTTTCTAAAGCGAAATTCAGTTGGAGAATTTGCGTGAAGTGTCGTCTTAAAGTCCCACCAAACACTGCTGTTATCTTAAGTGCTGTCCTCTTGCCAGCAGAAAAAGTTTTTTTTTCAATTTCTTATTTTCATCAGTTTTGAGCTTGTGTTGCATTTATTGATTGCCATTCATTTTAAAATATAAACCACCAGAAGCTGGTAGCCTAAGAATATGACAAAACATTTCTACAAAATCAAATTTCGTTCGAGTTTGGAATAATTTAAGCCGCCATTTACGCTTACATTGATAAATTTTCATGATGTCATTAAACATTTTGAGCACTAATGTTGATTTGAATCAAACTTTTTCTCGACTTTTTACATAGTTTTTTGCTCAAAATGTGGCCTAAGTTCATTTTTTATTGATTTGTTAAATTAATTCTGCGCGCAAAATCTTATTGGTATCAACCGTTTTCTTGTTGATTCGTTAAGCTTGTTTTTTCTCAAAATTTGACGTACAATAACGATTCATTACGATTGCATCAAAATCTGCCTTATATCGACCATTGACGCAAGATAATTTAGATCTTGAAGCAAGACAAAAATCAAGAACAAGATTTGAAAACGGATACTGAGAAATGAAAAATACCGAAACCCTTAAAACCGAAGGGAAACTTTGCAAAACAAATGAAACCTGCTGTAAAAATTACCATATAAAAAGCCCATTAATAAAGGATCTGACAACATCCCATCAAAATGCACAACACTAGAAGAATAGATCCTTTAAAACGCTAATTACCGCATTTGTAAGAGTTCAAACTTTTGGAAAACAATCTCGCCTGATTCGGATTTGTGGTTTAGCATATCCTAGCTTGAGGTGCTCACTTTATGTTTCGACACTCTCGACCAAAAGTTGATGTTTCGACGGTCTTGGCCAAAATTTGATATGTTTCGACCATTCTCGACCAAAATTCGGTATGTTTGGACCATGCACGAAGCAAGCAAGACTTGTTTCGGTCGTTTTCGGCCATATTTGGGTATGTTTCAACTTTCAAACAACATGAGTTATCCAATTCTAAACGTTTTAATCTATGCTTTTTATGTAACATTGTGATTTGCAATTTAAATGTATTGTAGAGATAATTTATTTTTGAGCTATTTACTGCAATTTGAATCGTTTGGAATTTGAGACGAAAATGTTAAAAATTATATAGTTATTTGAAAAAAATTTTTATTTTAGCTTCCGAATTACTGCGGGCAATTTTTCTACCGAGCTCGAGGTATATTTTGTCCGAGCTCGACCCGCGCTCGATCATTCTCGTGGCATGTTTCGATCGTGCTCGAGGCATGTTTCGACCCTGCTCGAGGTATGATTCAACCGTGCTCGAGGAACATTTCGACAGTGCTCGAGGTGGTATGTTTCGAGTCTGTGCTCGACCCAAACAACTGTCTCGACTATTCTTTTTCGGTCGAGCGCTGACATGTACTCGACCTCGAATTTCGAAACAAAAAGTGAGCACCTCGACCCGGGTTGTACCAGATGGACTCAAAAATTAACGGAAAATATAGAACTACGCTACAAAGTGACTTCATTCCATACAAGCCCGCAAGGCATACAATTTTTTTCAACCCTTTTAGATCACAGCCCCAACCACAATCTATCATCTTGGGATCACAAAATAGTCGGAAAAAGATGACCAATTCATTTCAGCTTGTAAGCAAAATTATAGCAGCAAAAAGAAGCAAAAAACTATCGCGCAAGGAAAGGAGCAAGAAACGGGGAGTAAAAAAGAGTTCAAACACACCATTCGGGCTGAAAAAAGAACGATAAAAACGAATGAAGAAAAGTTGTACGACTTTGCTCGACGTTGTTCATCTTTGTTAGAATTAATCGATCATTGCTCAATTTTGAGTGAATTTGTTAGATTTTACCGATAATTAATCGAGACGTTCTAATTTGCGAAGATACTCGGACATCATTTGGCGGTTTCTGTCAAGTCATGAGTCAAACACCTCAGCCAGAGCAGCAGCAAAAAATAATAGCCAGTGCTATAAAATTGAGGAGCGTATATTCGTAGAGCCCGGTTCCCAATTTATGTTCCAGTTTTCTCTTTAAAAAACTGATATATTTTGTTCGCTTTGACCAAATTTTTGTATGTTTCGACTTTCTCAACACAACAAAAAAATTTCTTGAGCAAAACTCGATTTGTGTATGTATGTATGTATGTATGTATGTATGTATGTATGTATGTATGTATGTATGTATGTATGTATGTATGTATGTATGTATGTATGTATGTATGTACGTATGTATGTATGTATGTATGTATGTATGTATGTATGTATGTATGTATGTATGTATGTATGTATGTATGTATGTATGTATGTATGTATGTATGTATGTATGTATGTATGTATGTATGTATGTATGTATGTATGTATGTATGTATTTATATATGTATGTATGTATGTATGTATGTATGTATGTATGTATGTATGTATGTATGTATGTATGTATGTATGTATGTATGTATGTATGTATGTATGTATGTATGTATGTATGTATGTATGTATGTATGTATGTATGTATGTATGTATGTATGTATGTATGTATGTATGTATGTATGTATGTATGTATGTATGTATGTATTTATATATGTATTTATGTATGTATGTATGTACGTGTGTATGTATGTATGTATGTATGTATGTATGTATGTATGTATGTATGTATATTTATGTATGAATAAATGTTTGTATGTATGTATCTGACCAAAAAATCCCGTTTTAGCTTCAGGGTAAGTGCTAGCTCTTTATCATTGAACATTTCTGTTTTTTTAATGACTGTTGTGTTAATTTGAATTGCTTGGTTTCAATTTTTATCGGCAATTTTTTGGGTTACAGCTTTTCGTATCCCAAGTTTGTACTTATATTTTGAAAAGGGACCATGTGTAAGCCTTCTTGTGGCGGTCCTGTTATGTGTAGGCCAACTATGCTGGTCTAGCCAACTGCACATTAAAGTTCAGTACTAGAATAGTTTTGCAGTTTTCATCTGTTTACAGTCTTTCATGAAAAAACCGACAAAATTCATTTTTTTCTCTAATTTCGTTAATGTTTCGACGCTAAATGATTCATGATTGACTTTGTTCGACTAATGATTTGACCCTGTTCGAATCATGATTCGACCCTGTTCAACTCGTGATTCCACCCTTTTCGACTCAAGCTTCGACCCTGTTCGAATCATGATTCCACCCTTTTCGATTCAAGATTCGACCCTGTTAGACTGATTATTCGACCCTGCTTGACTCTATCGACCCTGTTTCACCCATGATTGACTTTATTCGACTATTGCCTTCGTTCGACCTTCTTAATTTGCTACGAAAGGCGGACATCGTGCGACAGTTTCTGTCGAATCAAAGAACGATCCCCTCAGCCCGGGAAGCCAAAACTAATTTGGAAAGGTGTGCAAGCGCAAACAGCAGTAAGAAACACGGAACAGCAAAAAATGCTGGCCAGCACGGAGTTATTTTGCAAGAGAAAAATGTGGATAAGAGAAACTGAAATCGGAAGCAGAGCCAGCCCAAAAAAAAAACCAACCAAGTCCCTAACAACTGCAGGGGAATGAAAATTTTCGCCGGCTACCACAATGCCAAGAAGCCCGTTCATTCACAGAGTAAGCGCAATTGCGCTGCACTGCAAACAGGAGTAGAGCTTGGTGAAAGCTTGCATGATTTCGAAAATAAAAAAGCCATACAGTAAACACCAAAGAAGTTCAAAAAATTCATACTCTTATTAAATGAATGACAGTGAGTCTAGGAAAACATGACACGCCAAAACAGCAACCAATCGCAAAGAACCACAAGAAATACGACCCCGGGTATGCACGTTTTGATATACTTAAAAAAGTTCACATCCTGTTTCAACCGTTTCCAGTATTAATTCGGTTCCTAGATTTAGGCTGACCGTCAAAAAGAGCATTTTGTCTCCAGGACTGAAATTGTTTCACAAGCGGAACTGAAATCTGTGAAATTATTAACATCGACATAAAACGTTTGTAATGCCGAAAAGTTAATAATGGCGAGTTAATAATTTTCCGAACAATTTAACTTGATTAAAAGAGATTTAGCACACACTGAGGGACTCGAATCGATTCACTGAGTATTCAAATATTCAGGTATATATCCGCTCTACCAGCCCTTAAAATTACTGTTTGATTCGGCTTAAATACATTAAAATTAGAAAACTGAATGACCCCAGTATGTTAAAACTTGATCTCAATTGGTTTATCTTCTTAAACATTGGTTTTTCCCAGCTCCTTTTGCGGTAATGCTATAATAGAAGGTCCCTCAAATTAAAACAACTATGATAGGCAGAATCTGCATGCGTCTCAGTATTATAATTTTGACAACTATTTTTTAAATAGGTTATTTATTTCAAAAATTTCGAAACCTGTCGGAAAAACTATATTGTCTATATCAAGAAATATGCTGGTTTTAATTCATTATACGACTGAACAACCAAAATTGGGTTAATTTATTTTGTCATCAAATTTCAGTTTTGGCGGTTTGTTTGGTTTTCCACATGTTACGAAGTATCTAAACATGATACTTGTTTAAAAATATACAGCAAAAATTTTGTGAATGGCCAAATCAATAATTTTAAATGATTTTCGTTCCGATTTTTGAATATGGGGAGGAAAATTGTATCCGGGTGTGTTTTAGTTCTTTTTCTTTTTTTCTTTTTTCCACACAAATTTAGATACAACCAACAATCATCATTCTTTTTAAAGCCCGTTCAATTATGATTCGAACGACCTTTAACACTTTGAGAAGAAGTTCCCTGTGATGTTCGTTGAAATTTTTGATTTTCGGTTTAATTTAAATCGATTAAGGCTTACTTTGTTGTTCAACCAGACGTATTTTACGCAAATAATCATAGTAATACGGGGATTTATATATCAAGTTAAGGCCCTTTCAGCCCTGATTTGAAAGACGTTAAAAAATTTCAAAAATTTGTCAGACTTTCGAGAAAAACCGGTCTGAATTTTTTTAGTTTCAGTCAAACTTCAGGCCAGCAAAATAATTGTTAAGCAAAATTTTCCTCCTATCATAACCCTGCTCGTTTGCTTACTATCTAAAGTATTTTAAGAAAAACGTACTTCTTGTTTTCGGCGAGGAATCCCCCAAAAAATTAATTTCTTTGGGCCAGGATTTGACGTAGGAACATTCCAAGGTTGGTCATTAAAAATGGAGGTAGAAAAATAGTAAAAAATGGGTACCTTTTTAATGGTCACGGGATCAAATCCTGAATTAAATTCACAAAGCGACTTACCTTTATTCCGTTCTGCTTCATTTGGGAAGAATGGTGCGAGTTGGGAATGGTTGATCCCGTCAGCCATGTATATGAGAATAGACAGCCCAAGGGCTACAAACAGTTTTGCAGAAGTCGCAGTCTTTTCTTGAAAAATCATTTTGAAAACTAAATTACAACATTCAATTTAGCTTTCGTTTCAACTGTACTTATTCTATTGAAAGCTTTGAATGTAATCAGTAAAGCACTTCAATTTAAAATGCAGCACCAACGTTTTTATATTATTTTTTATGTGCCAATACGTTTTGTTAAATGAGTTCTGTTTCTACGCGAACGCAGCTATCATAATGAGTTGTGTTGTGTTCTTAGGTCTAACTCATAGAGTAATTTCAGATAGGGTACACCGTCTGCTCGTCACGCTATCTTATTTTCGGCCGGATAGATTCGTGCAGCTTCTTAGTCTAATACCGATCTTAATCTTACTCTTATATCTCTTAATCTCAAAAGATCTAGAGTATACTGGTTTTGTTACGATTCGGTCTCTTGGAGAAAGCAACTAAGTTGTAAGTTAAATTGAAATCTCTCTGGTGCTGAAATTACAAGTAATTTCAGCACTTACAAATAAGTGGATTGTTAGTTTGATGGAGTGTGATTGGTTAGTCTTTACTATTTTATAGGGATAAAATATGTAAATTATAACCAATAATAAATTATAGTTTAGATCTGGTTCCACAATCGCGTTGATTGTATATCGGCAACTTATGAAACTAAATTATTATTTTGTTTTTTTTTATTACTAAAACCAGAACGAAAACTTAATTAATGGGACCAAGCAAGATGGGCGCGGCAGAATTTCTCCAGTGTACGCTAAACAGCTCGTGCGATGGTCTTTTTCCTCGTGATTAATGATTCTTTCAAACACACGTCTCAGTTTTCTATTTTTTTTTAATTAACACCAAAATAATTTTTTACAATCTGTTTATCGACTTAATAACTATTTGGAAAAGTTGCGGGAGGAGGGAAGGGGTAGGATTTCATTTGTACGAGTGAAAAAGGCTTTTTACGATTGTGTCCTAAACAGCAGCCCCTGAATTTCTTCTAGTTTGTTTTCGTTCCACTTCCAATTTCAGTTTTTCTTTGTGTTCAAGTTTCGCGGCGGTATTTCCCAATTGAGTTGGGACGGATGTTAAACCGAAGATACATCGTCTGCTCGTCACGCTATCTTATTTTCGGCCGGAGAGATTCGTGCAGCTTCTTAGTCTGATACCGATCTTAATCTTAATCTTATATCTGCTAGTCTCAGTTAGTCTCAATAGATCTAGAGTATACTGGTTTATTGCAAGAAGGTCTCTGGAGAGGCAACTAAGTTCTAAGTTAACTTCAAATATCTCTGGTGCTGAAATTACAAGTAATTTCAGCACTTACAATTAAGTGAGTTGTTAGTTCGATGGAGTATGATTGGTTAGTAATTAAAATTTTATAAAGATAAAATATCTAACTTACAACCAATAATAAAATCATAGTTTAGATCTGGTTCCACCCATCCGGGGTTTTTGAATCTTTCATCTTCTTTCTGTAATGGATGATGAATGATGATCGTTGGTATTTGTCGAGCATCATTTCTTAATCCTGTTTTGTGTTAACGTTTTATGTTATGATGTTGCTGGTTTCTTCCTTTTGTTGTTTTGGTTGTGTCCTTTTCTTAAAAATCAAATTGTTTGGTTTGGGTTTGTCTTGCGACGTTTTGGTGTTTTATTATTGGTCAATAGTCTTCAAAAGAAAAAATTATCCAGTTCTTAAGCTGGTTTAATCCGGTTTGGTTACCATGGGTTTTCTTTTCTTAGTCATGCTGTCAGTTTGTGGTTTATGGTGTTTAGTAAGCTGCGTTGGTTAGTTTGAGATTCAAGATTCGACCCTGTTAGACTGATTATTCGACCCTGCTTGACTCTATCGACCCTGTTTCACCCATGATTGACTTTATTCGACTATTGCCTTCGTTCGACCTTCTTAATTTGCTACGAAAGGCGGACATCGTGCGACAGTTTCTGTCGAATCAAAGAACGATCCCCTCAGCCCGGGAAGCCAAAACTAATTTGGAAAGGTGTGCAAGCGCAAACAGCAGTAAGAAACACGGAACAGCAAAAAATGCTGGCCAGCACGGAGTTATTTTGCAAGAGAAAAATGTGGATAAGAGAAACTGAAATCGGAAGCAGAGCCAGCCCAAAAAAAAAACCAACCAAGTCCCTAACAACTGCAGGGGAATGAAAATTTTCGCCGGCTACCACAATGCCAAGAAGCCCGTTCATTCACAGAGTAAGCGCAATTGCGCTGCACTGCAAACAGGAGTAGAGCTTGGTGAAAGCTTGCATGATTTCGAAAATAAAAAAGCCATACAGTAAACACCAAAGAAGTTCAAAAAATTCATACTCTTATTAAATGAATGACAGTGAGTCTAGGAAAACATGACACGCCAAAACAGCAACCAATCGCAAAGAACCACAAGAAATACGACCCCGGGTATGCACGTTTTGATATACTTAAAAAAGTTCACATCCTGTTTCAACCGTTTCCAGTATTAATTCGGTTCCTAGATTTAGGCTGACCGTCAAAAAGAGCATTTTGTCTCCAGGACTGAAATTGTTTCACAAGCGGAACTGAAATCTGTGAAATTATTAACATCGACATAAAACGTTTGTAATGCCGAAAAGTTAATAATGGCGAGTTAATAATTTTCCGAACAATTTAACTTGATTAAAAGAGATTTAGCACACACTGAGGGACTCGAATCGATTCACTGAGTATTCAAATATTCAGGTATATATCCGCTCTACCAGCCCTTAAAATTACTGTTTGATTCGGCTTAAATACATTAAAATTAGAAAACTGAATGACCCCAGTATGTTAAAACTTGATCTCAATTGGTTTATCTTCTTAAACATTGGTTTTTCCCAGCTCCTTTTGCGGTAATGCTATAATAGAAGGTCCCTCAAATTAAAACAACTATGATAGGCAGAATCTGCATGCGTCTCAGTATTATAATTTTGACAACTATTTTTTAAATAGGTTATTTATTTCAAAAATTTCGAAACCTGTCGGAAAAACTATATTGTTTATATCAAGAAATATGCTGGTTTTAATTCATTATACGACTGAACAACCAAAATTGGGTTAATTTATTTTGTCATCAAATTTCAGTTTTGGCGGTTTGTTTGGTTTTCCACATGTTACGAAGTATCTAAACATGATACTTGTTTAAAAATATACAGCAAAAATTTTGTGAATGGCCAAATCAATAATTTTAAATGATTTTCGTTCCGATTTTTGAATATGGGGAGGAAAATTGTATCCGGGTGTGTTTTAGTTCTTTTTCTTTTTTTCTTTTTTCCACACAAATTTAGATACAACCAACAATCATCATTCTTTTTAAAGCCCGTTCAATTATGATCCGAACGACCTTTAAAACTTTGAGAAGAAGTTCCCTGTGATGTTCGTTGAAATTTTTGATTTTCGGTTTAATTTAAATCGATTAAGGCTTACTTTGTTGTTCAACCAGACGTATTTTACGCAAATAATCATAGTAATACGGGGATTTATATATCAAGTTAAGGCCCTTTCAGCCCTGATTTGAAAGACGTTAAAAAATTTCAAAAATTTGTCAGACTTTCGAGAAAAACCGGTCTGAATTTTTTTAGTTTCAGTCAAACTTCAGGCCAGCAAAATAATTGTTAAGCAAAATTTTCCTCCTATCATAACCCTGCTCGTTTGCTTACTATCTAAAGTATTTTAAGAAAAACGTACTTCTTGTTTTCGGCGAGGAATCCCCCAAAAAATTAATTTCTTTGGGCCAGGATTTGACGTAGGAACATTCCAAGGTTGGTCATTAAAAATGGAGGTAGAAAAATAGTAAAAAATGGGTACCTTTTTAATGGTCACGGGATCAAATCCTGAATTAAATTCACAAAGCGACTTACCTTTATTCCGTTCTGCTTCATTTGGGAAGAATGGTGCGAGTTGGGAATGGTTGATCCCGTCAGCCATGTATATGAGAATAGACAGCCCAAGGGCTACAAACAGTTTTGCAGAAGTCGCAGTCTTTTCTTGAAAAATCATTTTGAAAACTAAATTACAACATTCAATTTAGCTTTCGTTTCAACTGTACTTATTCTATTGAAAGCTTTGAATGTAATCAGTAAAGCACTTCAATTTAAAATGCAGCACCAACGTTTTTATATTATTTTTTATGTGCCAATACGTTTTGTTAAATGAGTTCTGTTTCTACGCGAACGCAGCTATCATAATGAGTTGTGTTGTGTTCTTAGGTCTAACTCATAGAGTAATTTCAGATAGGGTACACCGTCTGCTCGTCACGCTATCTTATTTTCGGCCGGATAGATTCGTGCAGCTTCTTAGTCTAATACCGATCTTAATCTTACTCTTATATCTCTTAATCTCAAAAGATCTAGAGTATACTGGTTTTGTTACGATTCGGTCTCTTGGAGAAAGCAACTAAGTTGTAAGTTAAATTGAAATCTCTCTGGTGCTGAAATTACAAGTAATTTCAGCACTTACAAATAAGTGGATTGTTAGTTTGATGGAGTGTGATTGGTTAGTCTTTACTATTTTATAGGGATAAAATATGTAAATTATAACCAATAATAAATTATAGTTTAGATCTGGTTCCACAATCGCGTTGATTGTATATCGGCAACTTATGAAACTAAATTATTATTTTGTTTTTTTTATTACTAAAACCAGAACGAAAACTTAATTAATGGGACCAAGCAAGATGGGCGCGGCAGAATTTCTCCAGTGTACGCTAAACAGCTCGTGCGATGGTCTTTTTCCTCGTGATTAATGATTCTTTCAAACACACGTCTCAGTTTTCTATTTTTTTTTAATTAACACCAAAATAATTTTTTACAATCTGTTTATCGACTTAATAACTATTTGGAAAAGTTGCGGGAGGAGGGAAGGGGTAGGATTTCATTTGTACGAGTGAAAAAGGCTTTTTACGATTGTGTCCTAAACAGCAGCCCCTGAATTTCTTCTAGTTTGTTTTCGTTCCACTTCCAATTTCAGTTTTTCTTTGTGTTCAAGTTTCGCGGCGGTATTTCCCAATTGAGTTGGGACGGATGTTAAACCGAAGATACATCGTCTGCTCGTCACGCTATCTTATTTTCGGCCGGAGAGATTCGTGCAGCTTCTTAGTCTGATACCGATCTTAATCTTAATCTTATATCTGCTAGTCTCAGTT